AGCGGTCATCATCCAGACAGAGTGCCTCCATATCCAAGTATCACTTGTTCTAGCCAAACCTAAGTACTAGCCAAGGAAAAGCACCAGGACCACCACCAAAATGCAGACCAAGGAGCCAGGGAGGCTTCCAGACGACAAGCAAAAAGTAAACAAGATCTTGCAATTAGCAGATCTCAGAAAGAGGAAAACAAAGTCCCCTGCAACCAAGGCACTGATGCATGCACGTAGTATTTGTTTGCATACTTCTGTATGTCCCATTAGGCACCGTGATCATTGCTCATGTTTGAAGCATGTCTAAAGGCATCTGAGATGGCTTTCAGATGGAATAGATGGAATTTGAAATATCAAGGTCCCATTGTGGTCTGTGATTGATTTTTCACAGTTGGTTTTGGTCGGCCGGTCTAGCACACCCCTGAGTCTTCACCTGACAGCTCACTTTTCCCCATCTTCTCACCAGCCAGGCTCCCTAGAGAAGGCTTAGCTGAGAGGCCTTCTCTGCCTCAGTTCCCATGCTCACTTGGCAATTCTGAAGCCGCTCTGAGACACTGTCATGTGAGCAGAGACAAAGGACACATGTTTTTTCTCATATGTAGAAGTTAGATCAAAGTTATAAATGTATATGAAAATATATTCATGGTCATATGCAGATAGACACAAACAAATTGACCAAAGTATGGTCTATGCAGAGGAGGAGTCCAGTGGTGTAACTCCTTTGAACAACCAGCTTAACAGTTTAACAAAATGAGTATCTGGAAGCTGAGACTTGTGTGTTGGAAGGAGGGGAGATCAGGGGAAGGGAACGGATGAATGAGAAGGAAGGTGGGTGAATAAGGTCATCATATTCAATGTACATGTATGCAAATGAAACCAGGTGACTTGAGGAGATAGGTGGGGTGGGGAGAGACGGAGGAGAACAATGCAAGGGTTGACATTGACCAAGATGCATTGCACTCATAAACTGACATGTTGAATGGAAACTCCTGTGTACAACTACTTAGATCATATTTTTTTTTTCAAAAAGACAAAAATTAGGATCACTCTGAATGTGATGCCCTAAACGAGGGGGAGGCCATCTTAGAGCTAGGCACCTAAACTAATGTGACAGTTGTCCTCAGAGGAAGAAGACATCTGAGCATGCCGTCGATTGGGGAGATATTGAAATAAGGATGCTGGGTCTAAGTAACATTGCCTTCTCCCTACCGCCATCCTAGCACCTTGATGGGTGGTGTGGGCTTTCCACCAGTTCTGAAAAACCAAAGAGGTAAAATAGGCCATGCTTTGCATTGCAGATGCACCATATTTTTTGCCCCAGGAAAGTTTTGCTCCAGAGAATGCTCCCTGTGATTGTTCCCTCAGATGGTTTGCTTTGCTCACTCTTGGTTGTTCCCCTAGATGGTTTGCTTTGCTTATGGAAAACACTGCTGTTAAGTTTGGTCTTCTACCCCAATCATGTGGTTTTTGCCTTTATAAACTTTGTGCTATAGATCTTTGGGATAGGAGCCCACTTGCAGTTGCCAGCTTTCCAATGAAGACTCCCAATTCAACCTCTCACAACTGATACCTTACAGCAGTATTAATAATGTTGCATAATACCATACTTATGCTGTGATGACAATGTAGTTTCTGAGGCACTGCTGAAATATATCTATTGTTAATACCTGCTATTTTTTAATATCTACTATATGCCAAGTAACTTGAGTACATTAATCTTTCCAAATCTCAGGCTCATAGATTTTTGTGGCTTTAAAAATTTTGAGCTAGGGGTGTCTTCGATTAAGATGCATTATACTCATAAATTGACATGTTGTATTAAGACCCCTTTATATAACTACTTAATTTTAAAAATATCATTCAGCACTGGTGGCTTCCACCTGTAACCCTGGCTACTCAGGAGGCTGAGATCTGAAAACCAGAGTCCAAAGAGAGCCCACACAAGAAAGTCTGTGAGTCTCTTATCTTCAGTTAACCATCAAAAAGCCAGAAGTAGAGCTGTGGCTCAAGGGGTAGAACACAAACCTTGAATGAGAAAGCTCAGGGACAGGGTCAAGGCCCTGAGTTCAAGTCCCAGAACTTCACATAAAGAATGAAAAGAAAAAGATTTAATATATCTAAAAAAGTGTTTGAGTAGGCCGGGCACTGGGCACTGGTGGTTCACGCCTGTAATCCTAGCTACTCAGGAGGCTGAGATCTGAGGATCACAGTTCAAAGCCAGCCCGGGCAGGAGAGACTGTGAGACTCCTATCTCCAATAAACCACCAGAAAACCGGAAGTCGTGCTGCAGCTCAAGTGGTAGAGCGCTTGCCTTGAGCTGAAGAGCTGAGGGACAGCGCCCAGGCCCAGAGTTCAAGCCCCACGACCGACCAAAAAAAAAGTGTTTGAGTAAAGTTCCTGAAAGTGTTCCTGTCCTACAAGGAAGGGTTAATGTCAAACACGAATCTTTCCAATTTCAATCCCATGCGTTTCCCAAAATAACTCTTCACCAAGATTATTATTTATCTTTAAATCTAAAAGAAAAAATATTTTAATATGTTTGGGACATAGAGTAGGTCTTTTTTCAGTACTGGGGTTTGATCTCAATCTGGAGGCAGCTTGCTTACCAGCATTCTGCCAGTTGAGCCACACCTCCAGCCCTGCTTTTGGCTGTTTATTTTGGAGATGGCGTCTTGTACAAGTTTTTGTTTCAAACAGCAACCCCCTAGATCTCAGCCTCCTGAAAAGTTAGAATTACAAATGTAAGCCACCACTGCCTCATTTCAATGATATCTTTTTGTTTTAAATTTTTGAGAGGCATAATCTATTATAATAGGAAGTTACAATAATTAATGTTTTTCCCTTGAGTGCATTGATAGGCCTGATTTCACTAATTCACAACTTTTTTTAAAAAAAAGAGTATTGCTCTACAAAATTTAGATCCCCAATGGATGCCATCCTTATTTTAAATAAAACCAACCTATGTATTTTCTACATTTATGACACCAAAATCTACTGGTAAATTTTGCCGGCCTTGAAGTTTTTCTCACATTCCCATAGGCTGTGCTCAGTGGCGGCATCTGCTGTAGGCACGTGATACTGCAGTCTAATATCATTAGGAACGAATGTTTTAGAAAAGGAAGAAAATGATGTGTCAAGCTTTAGTCGGACAGAATACATGTTTCTGGAGCAGTAAGGTGTAATTAAGTGGTCACAGAGATAATTTCCACCTCTCAATTTTATTTAATATTTGTGTATTAACACGAATATTGATGTTTTAATGTTTTTGGTGCCAGTCCTGGGGCTTGAACTCAGCGCCTAGGCACCGTCCCTGAGCTATTTTACTCAAGGCTAGCACTCTACCACTGCAGCCTCAGCTGCCCTTTTCAGTGTTTTTGGTGCTTAATTGGAGATAAGAGTCTCACAGACTTCCCTGCTACAGCTGGCTTCAAACCTCAGTCCTCAGATCTCAGCCTCCTGAGTAACTAGGATGACAGATGTGATCCATCAGCACCTGGCTCACTTTAAGGTGTCATTAAAACTATAAATATATCACTCAGGAATAAGGTATTTGTAATTGCTTTACAAATTGCTAACACATTTTAAAACCGGTTTCGTAAAACTTAATATACTTCAATCAATATGTTATTTGAACATTGACACGAAAGAGATGACTGGAAAATAAATTAAAAGAGGAAAAATGCAATGTTCAAACAATTCACAAATGATAATCCATTAGCTTCTCATATTTTGGTTTGTACAGGATGGATTGTTATCTGATATTGTTCCTTTGTAGGTTAATTTTATTTTTAGCTGAGTTGATATAGCAATTCATTTTACTTGTTTATTTGTTTTTTTTTTATTTTACTTATTTATTTTGCCAGTACTGGGGCTTGAACTCAGGGCCTGGGCACTGTCTCTGAGCTTTTGTGCCCAAAGCTAGTGCTCTAGCATTTTGAGCCACAGCTCTATTTCTGGCTTTTTGGTAGTTGATTGGAGATGAGTCTCATAGAGTTTCCTTCCTGGGCTGCCTTTGAACTCTGATCCTCATATGTCAGCCTCCTGAGTAGCTAGGACTACAGGTGTGAGTCACTGGCATGGAAATTTTTAAAGCATTTATGATTATGATCTTTATGATCCATTTTATTTTTCGAATATGTCCACACACCTTCGTTATCAGGGCCTTCTGTTTGAGTCAGGACACACCTTTTGATTTGTGTTTTGATTCTCTTTCATTCACTCTCAGCTCCAGCATTGTTACTATTCTGGTTGGATTTTTCTGCAGATGGCTTTGCCCTTGCTCTGCCAGTCACCAGGCTGGCTTCTCCATCCTCTGCTACTGGGGGTGCTCCTTCAGACTTTGTCTCCTGTACCCTGTGGGCGCCCTCCCCTGCCTTGCTCCTTCTAACCTGTTCTATCCTCTTGAAACAAAGTCCCTGGCTAAAGCATGATCATTACCTTTTCAGTATTTGGTCTAATCTTGTCTTAAGCACATTGTATCTAAACTTCCTCAAGAATAACTACTTTCTTTAATTTCTGTTGTGAAGAGCTAAATGTTTAATAACCACTATTTTTGGGGTGTTAATTCTATTTTTGTTCCCTTTACCAGCATGACTTACAACCTGATGATGGAGACAGCTCCTAAGTTGAATGTTGCCACTTGCAGCCTTAAATGAAAAGTCCTGTGCCAAGAACTAAATCTGACAACCCATCTTCCACAGTTCTCATGATTATTTCTTCCAGAAAATTCTTCCTGCTTAGCTTTTAGTTAGCTTGCACCACCAAGCACTTGTGAGGAAATATTGTCCTAAAGAAAACTCTTCATCACCAGAGCTCAGTGGTGGAGTGCTTGCTGCATGCATGAACCCCTGGGTTCGATTCCTCAATACCACATAACCAGAAAAGGCTGGGAGTGGCACTGTGGCTCAAATGGTAGGGTGCTAGCCCTGAGCTGAAGAGCTGAGGGACAGTGTCCAGGCCCAGAGTTCAGGCCTCATGACCGACAAAAAGGAAAAGAAAACTCTTCATCATAGCAGTAAGCAGAAGGGAGCTTACAGTCATAAACATAGAGTGTCAAACATTTGATATGTACTTTGCTTTATATCAGACTCGTAAAAGATCGTTTTCTTGTCCTTTTTCAGTTGTAAAACCAGGTTCTTTCAAGTTCATACCAAGTACAATCAGAACCTGGCTGTAGCTGATTGTAGAGACTGAGAACTTTACAAATCCAAGAGTGACAGGCTGGAGAGAGCTTCAAGGAGAGGCGTCAAGCTTCATATTAATGGAACAGGAAATTGTATCTGATTGGACTGTAATGGGGCTCCTCTGACCAATCAGGATCTCAGTTCCAGTGGCCTTCTCTGCTGAAAGGGAGTCAAACATAGGTAATCCAGTAGAAGATGCGCAGTCCTGGCAGAAACAAGCCACAGCTGCAATCCTACTGGAGGCCTTGCAACAAGCCTTCATCGCCTGTCCTCTACTGGAGGAAGTTTCTACTGATGGACTTCCTTTTCTGAGAAGCCTATGAGAAACAGCAGAATAATGTTTCAGATTAAGATTTAAGTGCATACTTCTCTTCTTCTGGCTTAGGGCTGACAAATTTCTAGGCTGGCAAAAAAAAAAAGTGGTAGGGAATTTTATTCATGAGCTCCCCACAAGCTTATACCGAGTCATCAAGAAACAGGAAATGGGGAGGTTGTTAGGTTAAGCATTGAAATATGCTTACCAGTTTGTGAAATCAGTTGTGGCCTAGTTTTAACCATGCCTGAAATGGAATGTTCCCCATTGTAATCCTCATTCTCACTGGTGGTCCTGTAGTTTAGGCCTTTGCTTATGAAAGGAACTCATTTCTATTGCTGTTCAAATCAATATATGATAACTAGCCAAATGAACCTGAGCATGTATGTTACAATGTGGTATTGGGGATGAATACCATAGCACATAGCTGTAATCCTAGCCTTTGGGGGGGGCAGAGGTAGGAGGACTATGAGGGTCAAGGGCAGTCTGGACTAGATAGCAAGACCCTGCCTCAAAAACAAAATGTCACTGGCTATCCTGTCAAACCCATTGAAAAGAGCCCAGTTCTAACCATGAAGACTAATGTACAATTTGGGGTGTATTTTTGTAGTACTAGGAGAGAATGCCATAAATGAATATCCAAAGAAGATAAAAATAAAAGGATTTACCCATGACAGAAAAAAAGGAATAAAAATACCAAGGATAAAAGTGTTTTTCTTTGTTCATGACAACTTAAAAATACATTGAAAGTTCTGTATTTGCTGCTTTGCATTTGATATGTGAAAGACATTCCAAATTCATACTCTACTGTCTGGTCTCTCTATTTCCTGCTTCTTACTTATTTTTTTTCATACTGACAGACACTCAAGAGTTTCCAAGGTACCCTACCTATTTCTTCAACGTAACAATGATCTATAATGGTGAGACAGAAAAGTAGTTACAAAAAAAGATACAAACCACCACGGCTGGCTCATGCCTGTCATCCTAGCTACGCAGGAGGCTGAGATCTAAGCACTGAGATTTGAAGCCAGCTGAGGCAAGACAAGTCTGTGAGACTCTTATCTCCATTTAACCTCCACCAAAGAGGGAAAAAGGCAGAATTGGAGCTGTGGATCTAGTAGTGGAATGCCAATCTTGAGAAAAATGTTCAGTGACAGTGGCCCTAAGTTCAAGCATCAGGACTGACACAGACACACACAGACACACACATACTGACATAAATAAAAAAAAAAAACTAAAGACATTGGATTGCAGAACAGGACCATCAGAATTCATATGGAAAAAAATACGCAAATTTTATTACTATTGTATTTTACTTAATATACAGTATAGGAAAGTTCATCTTATGTAGGGGTCACAATAATACATTCTAGCCAATAACTAGATGAGTGGACTTGGAAAAGTTTCTGGGTCTCACATTTTCAAACAAAAAAAGAGCACTCATTAGTAGAACTGATAAGCAGTTTTGATAAAATAGTGCATGTACTATACAAAGCACCTAAAATAGTGTCTGGCATGCAGGTAATGTTATATGCTGTATTGGGTTGCTCTAAAAAGCATATATCAAACCCTAAATTCTGGAACCTTTGAATATCATCTTTTTATAAACAAAGAGTCTTTGCAGATATAATCCGATCAAGAGGACACCATACTGGGGTAGGTTGAGCCTTAATCCTGTAGGATTTCTGTATTGAAAAGAAAGGAAAAGTTGGACATAACCATGAGAAGAGGAAGGAAGAGATAGGAGCCAAGCTGACACATAAAATGCCTGGCAGTACCAGAAGAAGAAAAAAGAAATGGTTCTGAAGGGATTGTGATCTTGCAATTTAAACTTTCAGCCTTCAGAATTACAGATAGTAAGTTTCTGCATGTGTGTGTGTGTGTGTGTGTGTGTGTGTGTGTGTGTGTGTAAGTATGCAGATCCTGGGGCTTGAACTCAGGGCCTGGGCACTATCCTTGAACATTTTTGCTCAAACATGGTGCTTTATCACTTGGGTCACCCTCCACTTCTGGCTTTTCAGTTTATTGGAGATAAAGAGTCTCATGGCCTTTCCTGACCAGGCTGATTTTAAACTGTGATCCTCAGATCTCAGTCTCCTGGGCAACTAGGATTAAAGGTGTGAGCCACCATTGCCTGGCTAAAAGATAAATATTTTTAAAGCTATTTAAGTTGGTACACAGGATGGATTTTTATTTTAATTTTGTATTTGTGGAGACTCTTATGCAATATTTTATGTATCTCAGGACGATATTTTTCTAGGCAGACAAAAGTGAGTAGGTCTCATATGCCAGCCACAAAGTTTCATTTTTACATATTTTACTTAGTTTCTAAAGACCATCTCAATTCATCTCTAATTTATGTGATTATTAACTTCTGTAACATTGGTTTAGCAAGAATTCGGTAGTGGTGTTTAAATGGCCCTATGACATTACTGAATTTCCTACCAAGTAATTGTGTTTTCTAGTGACTAACTAGCAACTCAAGGAGAAAAATCAATGTGCATTTCAAACCAACACCAACTGGGAAATAATAAGTGAGTGTGATGCAGTTATTATACAACAATGGATTTTGCAAACACAGACATTATGCAATAATCACTCTGGTTAATGTTGTGTCTTTCTAATAAAACTACTCCCTCCTGGTTGAACCCTAAGAACTTCATTGAAACTACTGCTGTAGTAGAAAGCAAAGAAAAAAAAACAAACAGGAATCATCAATCGCTTTCCAATAATACCTGGTATCCTCATCCAGTTTCTTCTCTGTGATTCTAACTCAGGAGATAAAACAGCATCCTCTGGTTGCCATAGTCACGTGAGACCAGCCCACCAATTTGTCCCTGACAGAGGACTTCCTGAACTCCTCTCCACTTCCTCCTTATGAACACCAGAAAGCAGTGATAAAAGGCCCGGTGGGCTATACAAGGCCACATTCCAATAACGAGGGTGTTTGTTCAACAAAATAAAATTCCCCTTGACCGCCCATGCGCAGTTCTGCACTTGGCTGTCATTAGGGGAACTTTTAGGAAAGATTCCTAATGATGGCCCGATGTTTACGCACAGAACAGCATTAATATCGTTATAACAGAATGCATTGTGGGAAGAGACATGAACACTGGAAACAGTTACGAGACATGCTCAGTCAAAACATCCATCATGGAGGACCCTTCTTGTGGAAGGGATCCTCTGAGATGCTTTGGTAAGCTCAAATCAGCCTGAAATTGCCCCAGGCTTTATGAGGAAGGGAGGTGGCTCGCTCGCTCAGCCTGCACACGTGCCATGGCTTCCTCTTACTTTGGTTCCTTCTTTGATCGTCATTTCCATCAGCCTGTGTCTCTCTCATTACTTGTGTGCTTTCTGCTCAGTTCTTTGTTTGATACACTGAGAACTTGGGTCATGATGTCACTGTATGCTATGGCCTCTGCCACTCTGCACAACTCCAGGAGGCTGAATTTACTGTACTACCATGAGCTACACCCAAGATTTGAAATATTCATAACCCACAAAATGACTTGCTAGCTCCCTACTTCTAGTTCATAATGGCTTCCTTGCATTAAAAATCTAATTTTGAAGAGGATTTTTTTCTTTGTTGCCGTTTTTGTTTTCTCTGTTTCTCTTGTTTATTCATTTATCTGTCTTTGGAAGGGTAGGAGGGGCATAGAAATGGAGGAACAAAGGGTAAACAAATGCAGCAGTGGTGCTCACTAGACACTATGCTGAAATTGAACTATACAACTTGGAGAGGAGGAGGGTCAGAAGGGAAAAACTGGGAGAAAAGGAGGGGAAAGGTGACATTGTTCAAAAAGAAATTTACATATTACCTGATTCATGTAACTGTAAACCCTTGTATACTGCCTTTACAATAACAACAACAACAAAAAAAGCAAAAACAAATCTAACTTTGGAGCCAGGTGCCAGTAGCTCATGCCTGTAATATTAGCTATGGGCAGATCACTGCTTGTGGCCAGCTTGGACAGAGAAGTATACAAGACTCTAACTTCAATATAGCCAGCAAAAAATAGAGCTGGAGTTTTAGCTAGACTGATAAGAGTACCAGCCAAGCAAGCATAAGGCTCCGAATTCAAATCGCAGTATTGCCAAAAAGAAAAAAGTAAAATTAGAGGCTGGGGTTGCCTATTATTCCAGCATATTGGGGAAGCAGAGGTAGGAGGGTATCAACCAAGACCACCCCAGAGAAATACTGAGAGCAAAATGGGGGAGGGACGTGGCCTTGCAAATGTGAAGCCTTGAGTTCAAACCCCAATCCCCCCCCAAACCAACAAACATGCCAATAAATGTGTATGAGCTCAGTTCTGAGTTAAATGTCATAGCATGGCTGAAATTTGAAGATCGCTCCTTTTGGTGGTTCTAGATAGATTCAAATCTTTAAAATTAACAGAGTGGAGTTGTAGGTTGTGTGTCACTGGAGACTTTAAATATACAATACTTGTGTATTTTTGTGGGGGTGCCAGTCGTAGGGTTTGAACTCAGGGCCTGGACATGGTCCCTGAGTTTTGTGCTCAAAGCTGGTGCTCTACACAGCTGTACTTCCACTTTTTTTGGTAGTTAATTGAAGATAAGAGTCTCACAGACTTTCCTGCCAGGGTTGGCTTTGAACCATGATCCTCCTATTTCAGCCTCTTGAATAGCTACAAGTATGAGCCACCAATGCCTAGCTCACGTCTGACTTTGTTGTTGGTGGTGGTGGTCATGGAGCTAGAATTCAGGGCCTGGGCACTGTTCTTGAGCACTGTTGCTCAAGGCTAGCACTCTCTAATCTCAGCCTCCTGAGTAGCTAGGAGTACAGGCATGTGCCACCTGTGCCCGGCTCTGACTTTAGATTGTGCATGAGAACAGAAGTAGGGTTCGAATTATAACTTAGCTTCTATAGCCCCCTCCCGGGTGGCCTTGTGAGACTGTCCAAACAAGTAGTAGAAAATACAGCCTTTTCTGGAGTGAAGGAGGAGAAGGGAAACCCAAAATTAAAAAGTAGTATCCGTTGTATCTTACAGGGAACTCTTAGGTTTTATTTCCCAGCATGGTGGTGAGGTAGAGTTGGGATGTGCTGTGAGCTCTGTCTCAGAACCTGACATCCAGTCCTAAGGGAGCTCAGGGCTGAGCTCTGCCTGCCTCTGTCTGCCTGCCAACTACGTACAGCACATCTGCCTCCAGGCTCACCCTGGAGCAGCGGCTACGCAGCTGGGCTTTGTAGCAACAGTACAGTGTTTTGCTGTCAGGCTCACAACTCCACTTTAGGTTTTCCTTTCTGACCCCCAGTGGAATTCTGACTCTGGGTTGGAACAGGAACAGAAATCAGGATGGCAAGCCACACACATCTGCACTGGGATATTCATCTCGGCCTTCATGAGTTCAAGTTAACACCCCAGGTGCGTGACGTTGGAATTGTACGTGTAGCACAGCTCTGCGGTAAGCCCTCTCTGAGCACAAATGAATGCGTGTTGAGTAAACAGCCCCCCAAAGACCCCACTCACTTGTCAGCATGGAGGAATGTGCAGTGCAGCTGTGGACTTACCTCGGTCTGGTGTGGAACATCTGGCAGAAGGCGTTCAGGAGCGCACCGCTGGCAGTCTGGCTGTGTGGAACAACAGAACATGATTATAACAGCATGGACTTCAAACAAAGCAGAGTGGATCACGAACGCTTACACAAACGTAGGAAGCAGGAGACACACAAGCCGTTCCTGTCCATCCCCCGCCTGTCTCACCCCCATTTCCCTCCCTCTTCATCTCAGTTCCTACATTCTCTCGGTGCTCAGCTAGAACGTCTGGGACTTTGGGGCAGTAGTCTGTGTTCTTCTTTCTTTTTCTTTTTTTTTTTTTGAAACAGATATGTTTTACAAAAGAATAAACACTTTTGTAAAAACCTACAATAGCCATACATAAAACAAGGCAACCAACCATCAATAAACACTGTCTTTAAAGCCCTCACCCTGCAAGCGGTGAGAAGCCCAAGAAACAAAGGAATTCAAATTTAGCATATGCTAGACAATCAAAGAAGAAATTGAAGCTATCATGAGAATGTGAGAAAGTTTGGGATGGACAGCAAGGCCGATCTCTGTGCTGTGTTACCTTTTTTCCAGATGCTGTTGTCTAAATTGCTCAGACTTTCGACAAAAGGAATTCGATTTTTCTCCTGGAACTTTCTCTTAGGTTTATACTACAGAAGAATATTTAGATGCTGCCAGTGGGTGGCTCCCACCTGTAATCCTAGCTACCTAGAAGGCTGAGATCTGAGGATCACAGTTTGAAGCCAGCCTAGGCAGAAAAGTCCATGAGAATTTTGTCTCATTATCCAGCAAAAAGCCAGAAGTAAAGCGGCTGAAAAGTAAAGTGGCTGAAATGGTAGAATTATAACCTTGAACACAAAAGCTCAGGGAGAGTGCCCAGTCCTAAGTTCAGGCCTCAGGACTAACACACACACACACACACACACACACACACACACCAGCTACCTAAGCTCTTAGTTCCATTTGCCCTATGAAAGAACTAGAAGATGAAATGAGATTGCCTCTGTTGTTGTAATCATCTCACTTATTTTTAGATGTCTCAAGTAACACAGGATAAGTATTGTGAGTCCTGGCTTTGTATTACACTAGAGCAACCCAAAGAATGGAAAATATACTGTGATTTTACCTACACTGCTAGATGTGATTTAATTCAGGCTTTGATGTAAATAAGAAACATGACATATTATTTTAAAATTAGCTCTGAGCTTTGAGATCTAGCTCAGTGGAACATAGCTTGAAAATGTAGGCGACAGGACAGGATTCAGAAATGTAGATCTTTATTTGGTGATGACTTTATATGAAGTTCTTTGCCTCTTCTAACTGACAAGGGCAGTTTAATGCACCACAATCAATGAATTCCTTCTCCTTTTCCTTAATGAAGATTTGACCCAAAACAGACATCCTTGCTTGTAAAGGAACCCAAATGATTCCTTAGTTTTATAGTTCATCTTTCACAGAATTTTTCTCCAATTCCCTAACATGTAGGAGCTAACTACTCCATAAATTTCCTGCTTTTAGGGTTTCCTACAATCCTAATTTATGTTTTTATCCTTAAAAAACAACAAACAACTTTATGTGTGAAGATTTCCAGAAGTATTTGTGGTAAAGACTGAAAAGTAAGAAAATACAGGCAAAGAATGAAAGAGATGGGGGAGAGAAAGCAGACAGAAGCAGTATAAGGCCACAAGAGGGAAAAAAAATCAAATTTATCATAATGCTATGTGCTACCAGGATCAAGAAATATATGCTCATTAAACCATTAAACCCTTCTGCTACCCAGAGACTCAGTATCTCCTCCCTCAGGAAAAGTCTTTAGATCACAAAAGTGTAATAGCATTATGCTTTTATTAAGTGTTCTACTAGGGAAATCTCAGCTAAAATAAATCTGATTTTTGGCACAATTAGGAACATAGTTCATAAAAACTAAGGAGTGAGAACTATCTAAGCAAATCTTAAATACAGAAAAATACATACATGTTTCCCTGAATAAAAGTGTTGCCTGTGTAGGCAAAGCAGGGCAGCTAGTTTTCCATGAGGGGGACAGAAGTGAAGGAATTCTGTTTTTGAGAAGGAAAGAGGGGAATGTTTGGGGGCCTGACTTATTCAGCTTGACTGTCCAATTCTACTCACAAATAATTGCTCAAGAGTTCATTTCACTTTGTGTAGATAAACAGGCCTGGACGGCAATTTTGGTTTCTCCCCCACCCCCTTGGATTGTGTGTGTGTGTGTGTGTGTGTGTGTGTGTGTGTGTGTGTGTTGCTTTTCCTGGGATGTGATCTCAGTTCCTGGGTGTTGTCCCTGAGCTTTATAGCACAAAGTCAGTGCTCCACCTCTTGAGCCACAGCTCCACTTCTGGCTTAGTTGGTAGTTAACTGGAGATGAGAATCTTATGGACTTTCTTGCCCAGGATTGGCTTCAAACTTCAATCCTCACATTTCAGCTTTTTAAAGAGCTAGGATTATACATCAGTACCCAGGTTGGATCCTTTATTTTTTTAAAATTAAATCCTTTCAGTTGAAAAATGTCAAATGCTATTTTACACGTAAGTAGCAGAAAACCGTAACAATTCAATGCAAGTTTCCAAGTGAAGAAACCATTTTTTTGTTGTTACATACACTTTGCTTTATAAAAATAATTTTTGGGTAGAGGCAGCTATAACTCATAAAAATGATTCAAGTAAAATGTCATGGCTGTTCAAAGAATTTGCTATCCTTGAGCTAATTGATTGATATAGACATGTCATGCGGATTCAGTCCCAAGGGTAACTTGAACTTGAACTCAACCACTTGAACTTGGCTAATCAGAGGGCTGCTCTTTCTGTAGACAATAGAATGTCAAACTTCCAGAGGTGCCCAGAGATTCCCTACAGGAAGAGGACTCTTACTTACGGGGTGCTTGCATGGATCTCGAGTAGCCCCTGAGTCTGTTGGTCCCCAAGAATCCATCAGATAGGAAACCACACCACACTTACAGAAATGCCTCTGGGGGAAAGGATGGCAGTTAGTTCACTGGATGTGGGGGAACACAGGGAATGCTGCTGATTCTTGCTAAGTGTAGTGGGGTGTCAGGCTGCAGGTTTCATTTGAAGCAATTTTAACTTAAAATAGTAAATAAGTCACGGCAGCCTCCAAACTCCTCCTGAAAAGATAGATCCCCAAGCTAAGTCCTCTCTAAGTTGACACCAGATATTTTTCCATTTTGACAAAATTGGAAACACTGGTAAGACATTCAATTAATTGTATGTTTCTTTTCTATGATTTTTTTTTTGGTGCCAGTCCTGGGGCTTGACCTCAGGGCCTGAGTACTGTTCCTAAGCTTTATTTTTCCCTCAAGGCTAGCACTCTACCCCTTGAGTCAAAGCTCCACTTCGCTTTTTGGTGATTAACGGGAGATAAGTCTTGCAGACTTTCTTGCCTGAGCTGGCTTCCAGCTGATCTCATTTCCTCAGTAGGCAGGGTTACAAGTGTGAGCCACTGTCACCCAGCTTATGTTTCTGAGTTCTCATTACAGATGGTCCTCACGGAAGGTAAACCATCCAGTGAGCCATAAAATAAGTTGACTTCAAGTGACATAAGGAAACTCTAGGTAATAAATTAGGAATGAAGAGAAGTATTTCTCTGCATAGAGTAGTTCAGTGTCTGAGAAAACGTTCTGTTTTGTTTTGTTTTAGAAAGATATGACATCTTTGATGCGCTTTTTCACTGTAAGTTGCAAGAAAAAACAAAAGAAAATATTATTTCCTTGGGGAAGGATGAAGACATGAACAACGTTGATTAAGATGCATCACAGTCATAAACTGCTTTGTTGACTGGCAATTCCTTTGTACAACTACTTAATACAAATAAAATAAAAGTTGTGGCTAAAAACACAAGGAAAGAAAAATTTAAAAAGAGAAAATGCATTTCCCAGGTGTTGGTGGGACCATGAAGAAGTCTTCATGTGAATGAAAACATTCTAAGACTTACCGTATTGCTAATGGGCTGTGAAAATTAGGTGTTTTCCCTGCGTGTGATAGTTGAAAGGCCTTGGTGGTTTGTAAGCAGTATCTTGCCATTGTCATTTTAGCTGGCAATGCACAACATGAGTTGTTGTATACCATCTATACCAAAGCTTGGTGGAGTTTCTTTCTTTTGGGACCAGGAGATATTCTGTATTAGGGATGAAATGTCGGGGAAGGAGGGAGTGTTTCCTATAGGACAAGAGAACTTAGAGAAAACAAACACACCTGCTTTAGTTGTTTTTCTAGTTTTTCTTTCTCCATCTGACAAGCTTTTATCTACAAAAACAAAACAAAGCAAAACCATTATTCAATAGAAAGACTTCAAATCACTGGTTTCTGGCCCTGATTCAGTAATCCATGACCTACTCATTTCCCAAGGGTCAGGCACTGGGACAATGCCAATAAAAAGAGCCACATTTTGCTGGGCACCGGTGGCTCACACTTGTAATCCTAGCTACTCAAGAGGCTGAGATCTGGCTGAAGGTGGGGGTTCAAAGCCAAGAAACTCCGTGGGACTCATCTCCAATGAGCCACCAGAAAACCAAAAGTGGAACTTTGTTTCAAGTGGTAGAGCACTAGCTTTGAGCAAAAAAGCTCAAGGACAGCACCCAAACCATGCGTTCAAACCTCAGGAATGGCACCAAAGAAAGAACCATATATTGATTCCATCTTGAAACTCCCAAATAAAATTTGGGAAGCTGGATAGTCTTAAGTTATGATTCTAATTTGTGAAAGCTATTATCCTTGTTGATCTTGAGTTAATCCATTTTAGAGATGCAGGTAGGAGCAATTTTCTGGCTTACTGGGTGAATTTGTAATTGTTCACACCTGACATTAAGGACTTTCACCAAGTTTCTGAAGTTGTGTGCGTGCTTCTCAACTAGGCACTGATCTACATGTTTTCTACACAGTGAGTCCCCAAGGGCTTAGAGTGCTGAGAAAAGCATTCAAAGTTACAGAGCTTTGTTTATGTATTTCCATTATTTAGGGCCAATGTCATCTAAAAGTCACTCAGCCTGGCTACCTCATCTTGCCTTCACACCCCTAGAAGAATCTAACTGCACCAAAGCCCCAAGTTTGAGCTCCAGAAAGCAAAAACAAATTAAAAAGCAAAACAAAACAAAAATGCATTAAAGAGACCAAAAGGACACCATTACTGCATGCGTGCAAGTTGAAATAGGAAAGATAGAGTGTTGTCATTGTCTGACCTTAATGCCCAGCATGATGTGTGTTAGGTATCTCAAGTTTTCTACTATTCTGCTTCTATTGATGAATGCACCATAGAGCACCACAAATATTTATTTGTGTGTGTGTGTGTGGGTGATACGTGTATTTTCACAAGAAAAATGGGCAGTGTAGAGTTTACAAATGATGAGGAGAGGCTGTGTATATTTTTCCCTGGAGTGTGGTCCTCTATTAATAAGAAGCAGGTTCTTTTTAATCCTCTTAAGGCACACAGTAAAATATCTTGCATAAAGAAGTATCAACTCACAGCCAGTGTTGTAATCTTTGTTACTCAGGAGGCTGAGATCTGCAGATTGTGGCTTGAAACCAGCCTGGGCAGGAAAGTCTGTGAAAACTCTCATCTCCAATGACCCATCAACAAAGCTGGAAGTGGAGCTGTGGCCCAAGTGGTAGAGCACTAGCCTTGAGCATAATGCTCAGGGACTGTACCCTGGCACCCTGAATTCAAACCCTAGGATCAGCACACACGCACGCACGCACGCACGTGCACATGCACGTGCACACACACACACACACAGATACACACAGCATCAAACTTAGATTAAAGCAACTGAAGGTAGCATGGTAATTACACATCTAATGAAGCTGTTAGCAATAACTTCTAAGAGGCTGAAATAACTGGGGAGATACTATTGTGCCAACTGAGAACAAATCTGGGGAGTCATGTGGCAGTTAGGTCATTTATTTTCAGAGGCAGAAGTTTAAGAGGTATGAGAAACATTTTAGAGATTAATAATGAGTCCAAATTTCTCACTTTACAGATGAAGGAAGGAAGCATGGGAAAGTCAAATAACTCCCTCTAGGTCAAGAGCAGCCAAACATAAGAGGAGGGAGTATGAGGTCTGGTCCCTCAATACTCTCCCGTTCTGAAGATGTTCAGGACCTCGTTGTGCCCACACTGAGGCCTTACTGTTGTTATTGTCTTTGACACCCTTCAAGAAAGGGTGAATATACCTGGGATGTAATTAGCCTTGGAATGACTTCATATACAAAGATTCATTTGAATGGCAGATAATATGATCCTCAGTTCCTTTTTTTTTCTTAAATCATAGGGTTTAAAATACTATTAATACAGTAAACACAGATCACTGAATCATCCATGGTATCTCTTTGTGAATTCTACTATTGTTTCACTAGAATGAATGAGACTCTTGAAAAATAATTGGTTAGGTTGATGTGTGTGTGTGTGTGTGTGTGTGTGTGTGTGTGTGTGTGTGTGTGTGCATGTGTCCGTCCTGAGACTTAAAGTCAGAGCCTGTGCATTGTCCCTGAGCATTTTGCTCAAGGCTAGCACTCTACACTTGATCCATAGCTCCTATTCTAGATTTTCGCTAGTTGATTGGAGATAAGAGCCTTGCAAACTTTCCTGCCTGGGCTGGCTTTGAAACTGATTCCTCAGAGCTCAGCCTCCTGAGTAACTAATATTACAGGCATGAGCCACCAGTGCCCAGATAGGCTGCCAGAAGCAATTTTTATAGTTTAAGTTACCACTTAGATCAGATCTTAAAATGGATCCATATCTTATAAACACAATTTTATGCTATACTGTCTGTGAAAATAAATTTGTTTTATTAATTTCAATCAACAATTACTTTATAGGCTGGGAAGGTGGCTCAGTGGTAGAGCGCTTGCCTTACATGGATGAGGCCCTGGGTTCGATTCCTCAGCATCACATAAACAGAAAAAGCTGGAAGTGGTGCTGTGGCTCAAGTGGTAGAGGACTAGCCTTGAGCTGAAGAGCTGAGGGACAGTGCTCAGGCCCAGAGTTCAGGCCCCAAGACTGACAAAAAAGAAAAAAAAAGAATTACTTTATAGATGCCTCAAGCATGAAAACTACTATGGATTATATTCTAAAATGTTAAGTCCATGGATTTATGTTCTTGACTGGGCTAAGAATTCTATAGTGTCAGATGTATTACCAATCTTAGACACCAATTTATAAACTTAAACTACGGTAGGAAGTAAAATAATTTGTGCACTGACAAGTTAAAACCAATTAAGGAAGTAGGTAGTAAAATTTGAGAGCAATTTCTCCAACAAGAAGAGTCAGAACTTTTTCCAGCCATTGTTGTGTTTTTATTAGATTGCATAAGTTATTTCCAGAAAATTATATAATTATATTTCAATTCCTTCTAATTCCTTCAAAATTCCTTTATTTTTTTCCCTTCTAATTTCTTAGAGGAAATGGTTCTGTCAATAAATCTCCAGGGTGTCTAATTTCAACTTCACTATGGAAAAAGTATCAGAAAAGAAATTGAATTTAGTTCAATCTATTTTATATTAGAAGGAAGATGTCTAATAGCTTAAAATTTCTCTGAAGACTAAAAGTCTTGAGCATGTCTCACGCCAATTTCCTCTTTATTAAAAGGCATGACATGAGCTTGCAAATCAACAATGTTGCGGTTTATTTCATTTTTATAAGTCAAAATTACGTTAGCTACATTTTCCCTCATTAACACCAGTGTTTACTCATCGTGGTGGCTTCCTGAGTAGACTTCTAATATATTCAATCGCACTTAATCTTGGTTTGCTTCCCCTCGATATGTTCTATTTCATTAAGCTGTCTTCCTTGAACATGCTCTAGTCACACTCAATCTGGAATCTCACTGAACCAAAGTCTCAATTTCACTAGATATATTCAGAGAATTTAGAAATCTGTGTGCTTTGGGAAGGGTGGAACATTCCAGTACTGCTCTTGAAAGAAAATGACAAGAATTTAGAAACCACTTTACTGTGTTTGAGAAGTAGGTAGCTCAGCTCCCATTTTACCAAGATAAATATTAGGAGAGAAAAAAGATCACACAGTTCTATTCTGTAAAAGACCTTTGAATCTAATTTCTTAGGGGAGGGTGAATTCTTTAATGTACTAAAGTTCAAAGAAATTCCCAGGCTTTTTCATCTCATTACAAAATTGCTTAAGAATGATTTCACCCCAGGTGCTAACCTCTCAAAAAAAAAATCCAATGTCCACTAACAGTGTTCAAAAAGGCTTAAATTTGAAGAAAAAATTAGAAAAGAGAAGTCACGTGTGTTTAGCAAAGATTGTTTCAACCTATACCTGAGAATTCAGCCTGTTCAATAAGGATTGAGACGTTTGATTAATTTGCTGGAGTTCTTCTTTCTCTTGATTAAGTCTTTCTCGATCTGATCGCTCCTTTCTGAAGTCTTCTTCATATATTTGTACCTAAAAAATAATAATAACTTACTATTAGCTTGCATTCTTTTCGGCACTTGAATGATTTCAAAGAAAATATCTGTAGCCAGGTGTTGGTGGCTCACACCTGTAATCCTAGCTACTCAGGAGGGTGAGAGCTGAAGATTGAGATTCAAAGCCAGTACAAGGCAGGAAAGTCCATGAGACTTTGATCTCCAATCAACCACCAAATTACCTTGCTCATTAATGTAACCCCTCTGTACAGTATCTTTACAATAATATATATATATATATATATATATATATATATTTAAAAAAAAACAGAAGTGGAGCTGTGGCTCAAGTATTAGAGCACTAGCCTTGAGAAAACATACTCAGAGGCAGTATCTAGTCCCAGAGTTCAAGTTCCAGGACTGGCACAAAATAAAAGAGAGAATGGGGTGGGAAATGAAAGTACAGTCTAGACTTTTCCCATCAAAGGCATTAATAGCCATGAGCTCATGTGTATTTCTTCATCATGGAAAGCTAGAGGTAAATATATTTTTAGCTTTTAGAGTGGCCATTCTTGAATTTTTCTTCTTGAGAATGCATCAGGAATTTCAAAGTAAAACATGCATATTCCAAACATTCCTTCCAACCATTAACTCTGGGCCCCCTCCACTGTGGAGGACCCCCCCCCCGCCACCCCCCTCCATGGGCTCCCCACTTGTCTGTGTGTGACAGCAAGTATCCCTCTGAAGGAGGACAACTCAATGCAGTTACCAAATAGAAATCACAAGTTGAAAACACGATAGAAATCAAAAGGCTATCAAGGCATCTTGGCAGGATTTTGAAAGGTATTTACAAGTGCTGTGCTTAAAAAGGAACATCACAGTCCTTTAGGGGAATGCTTCAGCAGAGGCATTCCAAGCATTCTAGAAAAGTGATTAAAAGTCTTAAAAAAACAAAACCAAGGCAAAACAAAAAAATACCCTTATGTTCCTTATAATTGGCAATCTTAATTGATAGCTTGGAGACTAGCAGGTAAATTTATGAAAGCAACTAACACTTAAGAGAATTAAACAGTATTCCTATAAGCCTATGATTTAAATATGTCCTGATATTAAAACTTGGTAGCTAGATCTATGTTTGAGTCTAGCATACATTGGACAGCACACCGAATTTTGATGTGCCAGGTGCTAATGGCTCACACTTGTCATCTTATCTACTCAGGAGGATGGGATCTGTTTGAAGCCAGTCTGAGCAGGCAGAAAAGTCCATGAGATTCTCATCTCCAATTAAAGCAAGAAGTGGAAGTGTGGCTCTAATAGTAGAATACCAGCCTTGAACAAAAATGCTAAACAAGATTACAAGGCCCATTTGAGTTCAAGTCCCAGTACTAGTACCACCAAACATTCTTATCTCCCCTGAAAATAGAAGCACTTTAAATCAGTAATGATGGAGCAAAATGCAATAGGGAGAGAGAAAAAATTAAACACTCTCTGTATATCTTGAGATATGTGTATAGACTTATAAGTTAAGGCATTACTTAAAATTTTTTAATTAAAAATTTTTAAATAGATATTTTTAAATAGATATTTCAAAGAAACTACATGTAGGCATATGTATACATATATATACATGTACATATATACACGTTTATATAGTATATATACTATAAATGTGTTTTTATATATTATAGATATGTAAATATATCCTCAATGTTAACTTTATATATATAAATATGTATATATAAATATATACATATATATATTTATATATATATTGAGGATCAATTCCAGACCCAGCCAGATTAATGTCCTGTAAGCAATTAGCATGTACATGTATATTTATATATAAATATAGTTATATACGTAATTTATATACATAAATATATTTATATATAAATAAATATATTTATATACATATATATATTGAGGAGCAATTCCAGACCCAGCTAGACTAATGTCCTGTAAGCAATTAGCATGTACATGCGCATGCCCAGTGGGAAGGCCCATATGATCAGAATTAAGCACGCTAGAAATGTTGCTCCTTTAGTCAGGTAGGGGTCAAGATTCTCTGTTTCTTTGTACATGTAAAGTGTGACTGTTCCAAAGAGTCCCAAGTGACATGACCTGGTATCTGATTAACAACATGTCTGTTCAAACTGTGGGTGCAGAAAGTAAATAACAGAACCTCTAGGCTTTAAGGAGATGGATCTGGTGCGCTCTATGGAGACTGCACAGAACAGAAATGCCTGCTGAAGTTTGTGTCATACATGAGCCCGTCCGCTTCTCCATGGGTAGATGCAACTCCCTCACAGGTGGAGTCATCATGTGTGAGCAACAACAGATGTTACAAGTGGTGAACATAAACAGTGCCTTCCCCAAAGGAATCTTGGCTGGTATCAACAATGATTTAGGATTAGAGCATTTGAACAGAGTCTTAATAATCTAAATGCTACCCTTATTCTTCTCATTAGTTTACTTTTAAGCCATACATATGATGAAATATATTCAACTGGGATGATGAGAAAACTATCATCGAGTGTGCTGAGTTGCTTAGATTTTAGACATAGGCTGTTTCCTATTGAAGTCATGGCAAGTTCATGAGTAGCAACAACAATAACTCAGTCACTCAGGATTTTCACATATGCATGGAGAATCTTTGTGCCTAGCACCAGTGTCTTATATAATCCTGCCTTCAAGAGGTACGGACAGGAGGATCACAGTTTGAGGCCAGCATGCACCACAAAGTGTGCCAGAATCTATCTTAACAGTAAAGACTAGGTTCTGTGTCATGTTCCTGTCATCCTAGCTACATCAGAAGCATAAAAATAGGAGACTATTTCCAGACACTGGTGGCTCACACCTGTCATCCTAACTCCTGAGGAGGCTGAGATCTGAGGATCACAGTTCAAAGCCACCCTGGACAGAAAAGTGCATGAAACGCTTATCTCCAATTAACTACCATAAACCAGAGCACGTAAGCCCTGGCTCATGGAATAGAGCAATAGCCTTGAGCAAAAGAGCTCAGGTTCCCAGGCCCCAAGTTCAAGATCTATGACTGAAAAACAACAACAACTACTATAGGAGAATATCAATCCAGGCTGGTGTTGGCAAAAAGTAAAACCCTATCTCAAAAATAAGCACAGAAATGAACTCCAAGAAACTGAAACAAGAGGATTTTTAGTGTACTGTTCACAGATCTTTTTCCTGTTTTTTTTTTCCTTTTATGTCACTGTTTTAGATTTCTGTAACCTTTGTCTTGTATGTAAGCTTATCTGATTTGGGAAGGGGAAGGAGAAACACAGAAATGGTGGGACAAAGGATGAACCAATTCAACTGTGGTACTCACTAGACACTAGGTTGGAAATGAACTATATAACTTGGCTAGGAAGGGTTCCAGAGGGCAGAAAAACTAGGAGAAAATGAGAGAGGGGGTGACACTGTTCAAAAGGAAATGTACTCATGCCCTGACTAATGAAACAACCTGTAAATCTTCTGTGCATCACTTTTAGAATAAAAAATTAAAAAATAAATAAGCACAGCAATAAAGGCTGGAGATGTGGCTCAAGAGGTCTAGCCAGCGTGAAACACTGACTTCAAACTCCAGTATTGGAAAACAAGATAGCATCACTCTTAACTGGTTGGCACTTACTCCAAGCCAAAGCATTCTTCAAATCACACCCAGGAACATAGAAGAAAAAAAGTATGATTCCCAGCCTTTGTTCTAGTGACATCTTCTACCCCACTGTGAATAGACTACTGACAGCGTGTACTTCAGAGACCCTGATCCCTAGTTGCACCCTCCGCTTATACATAGACTCTTACAGCCTTTGACTGAACCCACAGGAAACCAAATGGGAGTAGACACAGATGGCCCTTCTGCTCAGCAAACCCTAGCTAGCTTAAATACATGCAGCAGTCAGCGGTCATGACTGCTCAGGGAATATGATCTACACAAAGCCTTCTCTTTCAACTGCCCCGGTGAGTCAAACATGCCCCCATGTTTGGCTGCATGATATTGGGCAAATCTGGTAAGCCATTTGACTCCATTCCCTCTTTTATGAAATTATCAAAGTGAATTAGCTGATGTCTATTTTTCCTATCAAGCTTTAAATCTGGATAGTTCTCACTCCAATGAGTATGAAAACCTTTGACATGAGCCAGGCACTTGTCATTCTGTCTACTACTACATCCTGTCATCCTAGCTACTCAGGAAGCTGAGATCTGAAGATCTGCTAGCTCAGGCAGGAGAGTCAGTGAGACTCTTATTTCCAATTAACTACCAAAAGAGCCAGAAGTGGCTCAAAGTGGTAGAGCACTAGCCTTGAGCGAAAAGAGCAACAGTGTCCAGGCCCTGAGTTCAAGCCCCAGGATCAGCACAACAAAGAAAAGAGAAGAAATCATTTTCCATGGCATATTTTCAACAAAAAAGCATACACACTTCTCCAAAGAAGCGTGAACAAGAGGTCCCAGCTCTCTTCTTGCTCACCATTCACTCCAGCTCCTCACCTGCTGCCTGAGGACTTCCATTTCTATCCTCAACTCGGAGTGGTTGCATTCCCCTTTGCCCAGCCTGGAACATTCCCAGGGAAGTGAAGAACTCTCGGTTTTCAAGACATCCTGAAGAACCTGTGGTGTAAGATAAGCATACTGTTGGTCTGAGACTTGCCATACCTCAAGCATTCCTCATAGTTATTGCTCTCAGTTCCACTGCAACCACAGGCAGCATTTTGCTATGAAGGCTGCTTCCCAGCCAGACTGCTCACTCTCTCCTCTCAGGTTTTCTGTCTGTGCCTTTTTCAGAATCTGTCTTCTTTTCCCCTCTGATGATACTTCTATTGTTCAATCCTCATTAGTTTGAGGGCATACTTGGTGCTGCACGCCCTCCCCCTCTCCCAGCCAACTATGAAAAGTAAATTAATCTATTGTCTTTCTGTAGATTGTCTGCTTTGACCAAATGTAGACTCCATTAGTGATTTTAAAACATTCAGAGGAAACACATCCATCCTGGTCACTGGCTCTGGAAATCCTGAACCAGGACAATTGTAGGTGAGGTCCAAGGATACTTCTTGTTGTTCATTTTGTTTTGTTTTGTTTTGTGCCTGTGCTGGGGCTTGAACTCAGGACCTGGATGCTGTCTCTGAGCTTCTTTTGCTCAAGGCTAGTGCTCTACCACTTGAGTGACAACACCACTTTTGGATTTGTTGGTAGTTAATTGGAGTAAGACTCTCACAGACATTCCTGACCCAGGTGATTTCAAATCTCAGCTTCCTGAGTAGCTAGAATAACAGATGTGAGCCACTGGCACCTTGCTCAAAATGCTTTTTGAATATCACAGCATGTCTCCAAGGAGACAGAAGAATTTCTCAGCAACGATCACATGTAGACCACTGTCTCACAGACTGCAAAACCTGCTTTTCTGTTCTGTTCTCCTTCAGCAAATCAAGCCAAAGCCTACCACAGCCATTTACCTTCTGTTAAAATATCCACTGGGTGCTGTGGCTCATGCATGTAATCCTAGATGCTCAGGAGATTGAGATCTGATGATTGTGGCTCAAAGTCCATGAAACTTGTATGTTCAATTAACTACCAAAAAAAAAAAAAAAGAGCCAGAAGTGGAACTGTATGGCTCAAGTGGTAGAATACTAATTTTGAGCAAAAGAGTTCAGAGTTGACACCCAGGCCGTGAGTTCAAGCTCCAGGACTGACATACACACAAAACATCCAGAATTCACTGGCTTGTTCCTAGATTCAGTAATGTGTACTATCCAGAGAGGAGAAGGAAAGCAAATAGGAGATAATGAAATATATTTACTGACAAGATTATCATCCTCACTCTCTAACTTGGGATGCTCACACACAGCTCACACTTAGTGTAAAAGGCACTGTCTCTTATTTGAAGCCCTTTATCTTACAATGAGCTCAATAAAAATGAATTTAAAACATCATGATAGTCATCTCATGTGGCCATTTTAACTATTTGCTCATTAGTCAAGTAAATCTTCTGAACATATAGAAATTTTTTTTCAGAGCTCTGAGAATTCACTTTCTGTGTGTCTTGAGGAACTTCGGTGGTGTGTGTTGGTTGTCTGCTGTCACCCTCCTGCATGTGTAAGCATCTAGACATAAAGGCAGGAGAGAGAAGGCAGGTTTGAAGCCTGAGGAGGAGTGGTTAGTGGAAGGCTGGGCATTTCCTGACAGATGTTCTTGTAATATGCATGTGCTGCCTAGCTTGACATGAATTTCATTTTTCAGAGTAGTGCATGAGAAATACAAACTGTTTTCTTCCTCAAGTATTTGATGTTGGTATAATTTGGGGAATGGAAGGGAAAAAACAAATTGTTTAAATAGAGATACAGGGTGACTCATTGCAACGATGAAATGTACAAGACACTATGTTGGGGGGTGTAGTTGTAAAGGTGGGAGGGAAGGGATGGTAGGGGAAAAACAAAGGAGGAGGCAACAATACTTGATAAGAAATGTACTCATTGCCTTGCTCATGTGATTGTAACTCCTCTGTACAGTATTTTCACAATAAAAAACTTATTAAAAAAAAGGCAAAGTGGCCACTGGCAAACCTTCAAAGAACTGATTAAAAAAAAAAAGAATAGAAAGAAACAAGCCAGGCATCAGCAGCTCAACGCCTGTAATCCTAGCTACTTAGAACTTTGAGAACTGAGGAGAGAGGTTCAAAGTCAGCCTGGGCAGAAAAATCCCCAAGACTCTTATCTCTCATTAGCCAGTAAAAAATTTGGAAGTGGGGTTGGGGCTCAAATAGTAGAGTTCCATCCTTGAGTGGAAAAGCCAAGCCAGAATGTAAGGCTCTGAGTTCAAATCCCAGTATTGGCACAGAAAAAAAGCACTAAAAATTGTTTAATAATGTATGTTTAACAGAATTCTTTTAGGGTGCTGAGGTTCAAATTGAGAGCCCCATGCTCTAGTGTTTGAATCTATGTATAGCTACATTGTTCCAGGAAATGTCAGAAGAGTTCACATGTTTCAGATGTGTGAATAATGGTAGGAAGAATCTAGGATAGGTTGACTCACCATGAACAACAACAAGCAAATATGATGGTCCCATATTGTACACCTATGACTGGGCTATTTCTATAGATCTGGTTATTTTCATTTCCTGGCCTACCTTAATCCTATTCCAAAATATTTCCAATGAGTCATAAATGAAAAGTGAGCCTAGCAAACAATTATCCCATCAAGGGGTTTTCTAACTTCCTTGTAACCTGTTCTAGAATATTCATTTCTTATCAGCACAAACATCCTACAGAGATCTACCCATCCCACAGTGGTGAGCTGTCAGGCAAGGCAAGTTGACTACGCCCCGAACGTCTCTGGCTGACCTGTCCCAAGCAGATCTTATCACTCTAGCTAAACATCAGGGTTCTCTGTAAGAATTTGATATAGACAAAAAAAACCTTTGGGCTGGGTGCTGGTAGTTCACTTCTGTAATCCTAGCTAAATCAGGAGGTTGAGATCTGAGGGTTGTAGTTCTAAGCTAGCCCAAGCAGGGAAGTCTGTATGACTCTTATCTCTAATCTACTGAAAGAAAAGCCATGATTATCTATGGCTCAAGTGGTAAAGCACTAGCCTTGAGCAAAAATGCTCAGGGACGTGACCAGACACCGACCTGTCCCTAGGACCAACAACAAAAACAACAAAACTCTTGCATACTCTTCAGAGCAACTAAATTGAATTGAGTACACATAGTAATGTGGATTTCTGAAAACCATGTACTAATTACTTTTATCACATGTAACCATTTCAAATAAGTGAATGAATGGGTCAATGGGCAGATGCGGTGTATCAATGGGTTAAGTTCCGAATTGTACATTGAGAGAACTAGCACATGTTCAGCCATCCAAACTGACATAGTAACCTCTATTTATCACAGGAGTAAAAGAGGCAAAAGTATTTAATTGTAAAATCCAAGAACAATAATATCTTACATTTCATTAGGTATTGATGTATATGAGAAAGGCCTCTTTCACAACTTAATACTTTTTTCTTTTTTATTCTGGGCTTGAACCTTGGGATTAGTTGCTTCTGTCCCCAGGCTTCTTTTGCTTAAGGTTAGTGTTCTACCACTTGAGTTGCAGCTCTACTTCCTGCTGTTTTTATGGGGGGGAGGGGTAAGCTTATTGAAGATAAGAGTCTCATGAACTTTTCTGCCCAAGCTGGCTTCGAACTGTGATTCTCAGATCTTAGCCTCCTGAGTAGCCAGTGTTACAGGCATGAACCTCTGAAACCCACTATTTTTCTGATTTTTAGAGACATTTTCATGAGCTCCTATATGTATTGTGAGTTCTAGACACTATGTCTACAGTGTGGAAGTTTCCAGAATGAACAAATCCCACCCTCAGAGAGCTTGCCATCAAGAGTGAGAGATAGAAAACAGATCAGATAATGAATAAAATATATTGTATATTAAGTTCTAATAAGGTTACATGCGAGTAAAGTACGTACTTTTAGTTAACCAGGAAAGTCTTTGAGAAAATGACATTTTACTCAAGCTAACTTTTTTCACTGAGATTTGGGGGATTAATAAATTATAAAATTGCTGCTTCTCAGTTTCTTTCAAAAGTTCTGTGAACTATAAATGCTGATGCCACAAAAATAAAATGTTCAAATTGACACGAGTTCAATGAGAAAATACAAAAGCTTTTGAATGTTCTAAATATCAAGTCCTTCCTCGTGTGTATATGTAGGGAACATAAGCAGCAATGAAGGAAAGGAGGAGAAAGGGAGAAGGGGGAAGAAAGGAAGGAAGAAAAGCAAGTGAGGGAAGGAAGGAAGGAAGGAAGGAGGGAGGGAGGGAGGGAGGGAAGGAGGGAGGGAAGGAGGGAGGAAGGGAGGGAAGAAGGGAGGAAAAGGAGAATGGGTAAGAGAAGAAAGGTAGATCTTACTATCTTCTATAACTTTTCTGTAATTTCTCTTTCTGTGTGTGGTGATCCAATGCAGGATCATAAATTTCCCAAAGGATAAGCTATAGAGCATAGTGGTTTGCAAGGCATGGAGAATGTCCTGCTGAGCCTGAGCTGTGATCTCCCATTGCTACACTACCCTGGCCCCGGCCCTCAGATTGCTCTGGTACCTTGTTGAGGCGTTGAATTTCACTCTCGTAATGCTCCTTTGTCTTATTTACCAACATGTTTTTTTCCCTCAAAAGCTTGTTCTCTTTCTTCAGTTCTTGTAATTCTTCATTTACTCTCTCATTTTCCTTCAGAAGTAAAGAAACAAGAAAACAAGACCAAAATCAATCAAGTCAAAGATGAGGTAGAAACCCTGCTCCATCCACAATTGCTGGCAGTTTTTGTACCTCCAACATACAACACAAACAGAGCTACAACATTTTCTCCTAACATCTTATTTAAGCAATGTTGTTTGGATGGAGGAAAGAATTAAGACTGAAGTAGCTGTCATTTACCAAAACTTCGTGCTGCTTAGAACTCCAGAGAAATCAAGAAATCAAGATTCCCCAATAGTCATTTTTACTGGTCAAATAAAGGAGTAGGCAAGATAATATAATCTGTCACCCTTTCATTTTATATAGCAGACAGTAAGGTTTTTTGGAAGAAATTGGATTTGTAATGAGAATTCAGTCTAAGTAGACAACTCAAGATGAGATGTATATGTTAAGTGAGACGTATACATAAGTGGTAGTTAGTGGTAAGTATTTCCCAGTGCAATTATTACATCACAAGAAATCTGGGCAAGTTATTTTTTTGAAAAGTAGAAACATTTCTGTGTGCTCTTATATAAACACAATAGAGTTTTTATACTTAGAAAATGAGCCTTTGCTACTTCAGAGTAATTGAAAGAAAGAAATTCAGCTAGGAAATGGTCCCTACTGCATGAAAGGAAAATTACTAAAATCTCTATATAGGGTGTGATTGGAAATAGAATGGGTTTGTATAGGACAGAAAAGAGTGCTAAATCCAGTTTTCCCCATTGATTGTTGAAAGCAGAAAAAGAGCCTGGCTGTGTAATCAGGGCAAAAGATTCTGCATCTCACACCATGGCCCTGAGTAGTGCTGTGTGCAGGCCCCTAGACATTGTCATCACCATGGCCCTGAGCAGTCTTGTGTGTAGATCCCAAGACATCACATTACCATGGTCTGGAGCAGTCCCGTGTGCAGACCCCTGGACATTGAATCACCACAGCCTAGAGCACTCACACATCTGTGCCACTAGGCATCACATCATAGCCCATTGTCCCTGGAAGACTTGCACGTGAAAAGCAAGCTCATTGGATCCTAGAGGTGTGTGGCAGAATGGGCACCCAATTAGAGGGGATAAAGGACACACAGGAGCTTGGCCAGGCTGCTCTGATTGGGTCTGGGGTCTGCTTATGGCTACAGGCTGTCCAATGATCTTGAGAGTCACATATCTCTCTGTCCTGGAGAAACAAACCTTTTTAACCCTGAACGATTCTCCTCTGGGAGAATCTTTCTAGCCAGAGCACTGCTTTCATCAATAAATCTTTGCCACTTTACTTCTCCCTCTGTGTCTGTGTACTCATTGTTTGAGATCGCAGAGACAAAGGACTTGATCTAGATGTTGCATGTTTTTTTTTTTTCAGTATCATTGTGACAATGACACTCAACAGGTTAGGAAATCCTAGACTGCCATCCACCTTGCTTCTGGTCCTTACCTGAAGATTTGTGCATGTTTTAAAACAGTGTCAGTGCTTTATGATATGGGTAGTAACTAACCCTGAGGATATTTTGACTTGTTTCTTACTATACCTAAGGAAAAGAGGGGGTAATTAGAGCTTCATATTTGTCTACGGGATCCATGAAGCCCAATAGCTGAAAGCAAAACCAGGAAGAAAAAGCAATCTGTCTTAGAGCTGAGAACCAGTGACTCATGCCTTTAATCCTAGCCACTCAGAAAGCTGAGATCTGAGGATAGAAGTTCTAAGTCAGTGCCGGTAGAAAAGTCTGTGAGAATCTTAGAATTTTATCTCCACTCAAACACCCCCCACTCCCAGGAAAATAAAAAGCTGGATGTGGAGCTGTGGCTCAAGTGATCAAGTACTAGCTTTGAAACTAAAAGATCAAGGAAAGTGCCCAGGCCCCGAGTTCAAGTCCAGGACTGGCACACACACACACACACACACACACACACACACACACACACACAGATGTAGATCAATGTGAGCGTTCTTGCCTCACAGGTGTAAGGCCTTGGGTTCCAATTCCAACAATGCAACAGCCAGCACAGATATGAGGTCCTGGAACCGAAAGAGCTACCGCCTAAATACGAGGCATTATGATGTCCACCCACAGTATATGAATGAAACAAAGGCGGGAATCACTTTTGTCCTAGGCTGACATGCCCACCATATCCCTGAGTCCCTTCTCTTCCCTGCCTATTCATGCAACCAAGAGGAAATGTGTTGGACACCCCCTCCTGTCTGCTTCAGAGATGGAACCCCACTTTATTTGGGGTCCACTCACCCCGGCTAGCAGATGTGGATCCAGATGTGCATTCAGACAGGAAGTTTCCCACCCTGCCACTCCTGGGCTCCGGGCCCACCCACCTTTTCCTGCGGCCTTGGGTAGGGCTGCAAGCCATGCTGCGGGTCCTCCTGCAGGCCCCCCTTTTGCTGACTCTGGGGGCGCTCCTTCTCCAGTGTGCCCAGCAGTTTCTCAGCAGCGGCCAGCTTCACTCTCAGCTCTGCGACCTGAGGAAAGTCATCACAACCAGGCCAGGCATGGCTGCAGGCCTTGGGGTACCTCCAGGACCCGTACTGTGGGGAGGAGCTGCCCTCACCCAGAACCGGCTGTAATCCTAGCTCTAGCTCTGATTTGAGGATCAGAGTTCAAAGCTAGCCTAGGCAGGAAAGTCAACGGGTGAGACCCTTGTGTCCAGTTGACCACTACAAAGCTGGCAGTAGAAGTGTGGCTCAAATGATAGTGTGCTAGTGTTGATTGCAAAAAGAAGGGGGGAGGAGGAGGGGGAGAAGGGGGAGAGGATAATAAGCTTCTTGACAGATCATATGCCTTCCAGAGATGAGGGATGAGCCCCATTTTTCCTGAGCTTTCAATGTTTAGCGTGTGTGTGTGTGTGTGTGTGTGTGAGAGAGAGAGAGAGAGAGATTTTGTTCATTTCATCTGTTTGTTTTGGAGACAGGAGACAGAAGTGCTTCACTCTAGTCTAGGCTAGCCTGGAATTTTAGATTCTCCTGCCTCAGCCTCCTGAGTGCTTGGATTACAGGTATGTTCTACAGGTGTTTATTTTATTATCTATGGAAAATACTTAATGTTATCCAATTAAAACATTAGAGATGCAGTCTCTCCCAATCTCAGCCTGTGTATTTATGGCTTCTAGTAACAAAGGAGAGACTATGACATTCTGTGAGAAGGAAAATGTGCACAACTCTTGAGATATTGCCACAGGCAATTTACATTTTAATACCTTCCTTCAGACATGCTCAAAACAATGCCCTGACACTGTAAATCTTGTGTGTGTATGTGTGTATGTGCGTGTGTGTATGTATGTGTGTGTGTGTGTGTGTGTGTGTGTGTGTGTATACACATGCGTGCATGCTAGCACTGTTCTTGGAAATTGAACTCAGGGTCTGGGCACTGTCCATGAACTTCTTTTCCTCAAGGCTAGCATTCTTCTACTTGAGCCACAACTCCACTTCTGGCTTTTTTTCTGAAAGGAAGGGGAGATCAGAGTCTCACGGACTTTCCTGCCCAGGATGATTTCAAGTGGTGATCCTCAGATCTCTGCCTCCTGAGTAGCTAGGACTGTTTGTAAACCTTGAGCAAGGAAGCTGGTTAGTCATTCAGCACTGCCTTCCCTCATTTGTGCATATGTAACCACTCACAGAATCTCTTTGCAGCCAAAAGCCAGGTGAACCTTCACATACTTGGCCCCACCAAGATGAAGTAGAGACACTTACCTTTCTCTCATAAAGATCTTTCATACTTCTAAATTGTTTATCCCACTGCTGATTAACTTCCAGGAGCTGAAATGGTTAAAATTTGGTGAGTCAAGAAAGGATTTCTGGAGATCTGTACCTTCGGGCAACATGAAATCATTGTTTGAGGTTGCAGTAATTCTGGAAGCTATAGGTGAAGAAGATATTCTTTCCTGCAAATTCTGAGGGATCTGGGATGATTTAATTATGTGAAACTTCACTGTGCCAAGACTAGTTCACTTGTGAAAAACTATTAAACTAGTGAGTCTTAGGTATAGCTACATGTCAGCTAGATAGGTACTAGCAACTTTTCTTAGCTATTTAATTTTTAATCTAATTTTGTAATCTTTTTTTTTTTTTGTCAGTCATGGGGCCTGGACACTGTCCCTCAGCATTTCAGCTCACGGCTAGTGCTCTACTACTTAAGCCACAGCACCACTTCTGGCTTTTTCTGCTTATGTGGTGCTGAGGAATCAAACCCAGGGCCTCATGCATATAAGGCAAGCACTCTACCACTGAGCCACCTTCCCAGCCTTATTTGTGTAATTTTAAACTATCAGAGTCTGGTTTATAGAAAGTACTGAAAGTATTGTTATATTGGGGAAAATGTACTAATGAATGAGAGCTGTTTCTCGAGCTATTTCTATTAAAACCTAGACAGATAATCACTTACTTCTGTTAGGATTATGCTCACCTTTGGTCCTCAGCTCCACCCAGACTTCCTGGAGTTCCCTCCATACAGCTGGCTCCTCCCTTTCTCCTCCCAGACCCACCTGAACTCCCATCTACCTCACTTCCTGTCCACCAGACCCTACTGCTACTTGGATGAAGGCCATGTGCTCCCTCTTGGGGGAAATCTGGCTCCTCTAATAAACCTCATAATAATCTTTCTCCTGTGCCTGCCTGCCTCTGTGTGGTCCCCTGGGATGGATGTGTGGGATCCTCTTTCAACTTCCAATAATGTGCTTTAAAAAGTTCATACCTTATGATGAGTGAATGTAATCACAATATTTAATGTGTGTATGTGAAAATGGAATCAGATAAATTAAGGGGATGGGTGAGGTTGGGAGAGAGGGGGGAGAATGATGGAAGGGGTGACATTAATCAAGATGCGTTGTGCTCATAAACTGACATGTTGAATTGAAACCCCTTTGCAGAAGTACTTAAAGATAATAAAAATAAATAAAATTTAAAAATTAACACATTATTAGTATCATATCAACAGATAATATCATCTTTTTGAAAATATAGATTTTCAAAGGATTATGCCTATTTCACAAGACAAATACTTAGGAATATTTAGGCTATCCACTGTAAATGGAATATTTAGACTAGACACTTTAAGCATTTTTAAACTACCTACTAATCAGAAGGAAGAAACAACACTATGATCTCTGTGTTAGTTTTCCTCTAAAGGGAAGCTCATAGTTTTCTACATTCGTGGAAATTCCAACACTTACTAGTAAGGGCCAGACACCTAGGAGAAAATCACAAAGACCAGGAAAACTGTCTTCTAATTGCTAAGCAAGAGAGTACAGTTATTAGGTAATGGGTTATTTAGCAGAAGGCTACCTAATACTATATAACTATAACTTCTAGGGATTAGCATTTTTATACACTGTTACAGCTCTACTTAGCGCAGTGGTTGTCCAAAAGGTGCTGTATTTCATGCAGGATCAAACAGAGCAGAAGCTTCACAGCAGAGAATGTGAAGGGCACAGTGCTTAGGTGGGTTAGACAAGGAATTGCACAAAGAATGGAATATATGGAGTAAAATTATTGCTATTCTTTCACTGCTGCTGTCCAGAGCATGAAGAGGTTCTAACGCTCATTATGCTCAGAAAATCAAGCCAGTACAATTCACAGTTTCTGTTTATTCCCAGTAATGTTTTAGAAACCACTCTTTGTTTTTGTTTTTGTTTGTGCTTTGGTGCCAGTCCTGGGACTTAAACTCAGGTCCTGGGTGCTGTCCTTGAGCTCTTTTTGCTCAAGGCTAGCACTTTACTACTTAAAGCATAGCTCCATTTCTGGCTTTTTTTGGTAGTCTGTTGGAGATAAGAGTCTCATGGCCTTTTCTTTATGGGCTGATTTGAACAATGATCCTAGGACTGTGGGAGTGAACACCTAGAGTTTTTATTTTTTTAATTTTTATTCTTATTTATGTATTTATTTATTTACTTTTGTCAGTCGTGAGGCTTGAATTCAAGGCCTGGGCACTGTCCCTAAGCTTTTTCTCTCAAGGCTAGCATTCTACCACTTTGAGCTACAATGCCACATGCAATTTTCTGGTGGTTAATTGGGGATAAACGTCTCATAGATTTTTCTACCTGAGCTAGCTTCAAAGTACAATCATCAGATCTCAGCCTCCTGAGTAGCTAGAATGACAGGCATGAGCCACCAGCCAACCCCCACCCCCACTCTGGCTTATATTTTTATTTCTTTTTTTCATGTTTTTTTCTGACTTTGTTTTTGTTTTTTGTGGGTTGTGGGACTTGAACTCTGGTCCTGGGTGCTGTCCTTCAGCTCTTCAGCTCAAGGCAAGCGCTCTACCACTTGAGCCACAGTGCCACTTCCGGTTTTCTAGTGGCTTACTGGAGATAAGAGTCTCATGGACTTTCCTGCCTGGGCTGGCTTCGAACCCCAGTCTTCACATCTCAGCCTCCTGAGTAGCTAGGATTACAGGCGTGAGCCACCGTTGCCCGGCTTTTCTTTTAAATTTTTATGACCACATTCCTTAACCCCTATGTGTTTGGATACACATTCGCAAAGTCTAGCTCCTGAATCAACTCCAGAAAGCCTCTAAAAGTTTGAGTCTTAAGGAATGTCAATCGTCAAGACATACAAGGACCCAAGGCTAAGCTCACAGAGTTTTTTGGAGAACTCACGGAGGTTTGGGGAAATTTAGGATTATAGTTACCAGATTTAGGACTCTTGTCAGTTTTTTCATTCATTCTTACACAAACAATGACTTTTTAAAAAGGGATTTGCTCTCAAAATAATGAAGTCTGTTCTCAGGGAGATAAATGTTTTGACACACACTATTTTACTCTCCAGCATTAACCCCAAACACATGAAACTAGACTAATATTTCTAACTTACCTCTTTTCTCTGTTTTTCCAAGCACTGTATCTTATGCTCTAGAGACTTCGGCAAGTTCTTTCTTCTTGATGATTGAGCATACTTTAACAGAAAGAAAGAGAAATGGTTGGGAGTTAGCAGTCTCCACAATGAACAGGAAACCTATCCAGGTGGTTCACACCTGTAATCCTAGCTCATCAAGAGTTTGAGATTCCAGGATCAAGATTCAAAGACAGCCAGGAAGACAAATCAACTCTTATTATCTCCAATTAACTAGCAAAAAGCCAGAAGTAAAGGTATGGGTAAAGTGGTAGAGTGCCAGCCTTGAGCAAAAAAGCTGAAGCTCAAACTAGTGGTTCACGCCTGTAATCCTAGATCTCAGGAGGCTAAGATCTGAGGATCCCAGTTTGAAGCCAGCCTGAGCAGAAAAGTCCACAAGACTCTTATCTGCAATTAAACACCAGCAAAACAGAAGTGGGGCTGTGGCTCAAAGTGGTAACGCATTAGCCATTAGCTTTGAGCAAAAGAGCTCAGGGACAGTGCCCACGCCCTGAGTTCAAGCCCAATGACCAACAACAACAAAAGCTGAGAATACAGTGTCCACCTTGAATTCAAGCCCCGGCACCGGCACACACACATACACACAAACACACACACAATATGAAAAGTAAACAGGAGCCAGGCATTTGTTCATGACTGTATTCCTAGCTACTCAGTAAACTGAGATCTGAGGATTGCTATTTGGAGCCAGTCCAGACAGGAAAATTAATGAAACTCTTATCTCCAAAGAATTACTCAAAAAGCTGGAAGTACAGGTATGGCTCAACTGGTAAAGCACTAACCGTGAGCAAAAGAAAAAGCTCAGGAACAGTATTAAAGTCCTGAATTCAAGCCTCAGGACTAGCAAAAATAAATAAATGAATAAACAAGGGAAACACAATTGTCTCCAAACTCCATCTAGCCAATCACTAGAGTATGACTTAAGAAAATATCTGATTTGCTGGCTGAGGTGTACATCGTGGTAAAGTATGTTCTTTGCCAGTACTGAGGGCTGGTTTGGTCCTCAGCGCTGAAGAAAACAAATGAACTAACGAAACAACTTGAGTCTACCAGCTGCCATCCTCACTCCACAGTGCTTCACAGTGCCAAGTTAATGCACCACCTTCACTTCCTATTTAAGAACACTTATGAATTAGTTACCAAAATCACTTTCAAACGATAAAGGCATCTACACAATTAGCATAGAATTTCATGAATAATCAATTTAATCAATCCATTTTGTAAAATAAGCATTGGCACAAAATTTTAAAACAAAAAAAGGAAAACAATAACTTATAAGACTGTATTTCTCTATCTTATTTCAAATTATTGATGATATTTTAGGATGTGATGATATTTTATACACATGTGAACACCTTTCTTAGTTTTCTTAATTTTGTTTGCTATTTAGAGCCATGTTATAGCTAAGATTACATTCAAAAAATGTGCCTTAATGCTTGTAATTATACCTACTTCAGAAGCTGAGCTCTGAGGATCTAGGTTTAAAGCCAGCCTGGGGAAGGAGAGTTGGTAAGACTCTTATCTTTAATTGACCACCAAAAAGCTAGAAGTGGAGCTGTGGCTCAATTGGTAGAGTGCTAACCTTGAACCACAAAGCTCAAGGACAGTGTCCAGTCCTGAGTTCAAGCCCCAGGACTGGGGCACATACCAAAAAAAGAAATGAGAGAGAGAGGGAGAGAGAGACAGAGACAGACAGACAGACAGAGACAGAGACATAGAGACAGAGAGCTAGACAGACAGAGACAGAAAGACAGAGAGACAGCAGATCTTAAAGAAAGCAAGTTGCCTTTTTGTCTGCTCTTGCTATGACACAGTTAATCACTGGAAAGGCTAGCAAGGTTGGATGTGGTTAGTAGATCCCCAGAAAGTTCTTACCTCTGCATTCTCCATAGGACTTCCTCCCTTTATTCCAGGTGTGTCCTGGACAGACATGGAAGCTGGATTTCCAGGTGTCTTGTAGAGAAAAAAAAAAAAAAAAAAGACAAAGAGGAGGAGGAGGGAAAAAAATCCCTTAAGGATTTCTTTTAAGGTGAGATCAAACGTTCAACATTTGATTTTTTAAAAATACCACCCTCCACTTCCTGATGAAAAAAAACAGCAACAATGTTTTTTTTTTTATTAAAAATGAACAGAGGTGTCTCTGGAGGTTCACTACACAGAATACATTTAAGAACAGAACCTCTGATTTTAGCTTTTATTCTTTTCCCATCAGGGATTTCCCGGGATGTCTCAAGAAGGCAGGCAGTGACTAAGGTCTGGGCAGACCAGCCTAGCTCTGTATGTAAATTGCCATTCTCTCTTTACTGGCAGTTTCTCTCCCAGGAGAAGGAAGTTGCTACCACGAAAGGTCTCATCAAACGAAATCTTTCCTCGGTAACTTACCTGCATGCATTGATTGCCTTTCCCAGAGCAGTTAGATAACAGCTGATTTTTTTTTTGACAGCTCCACTACTTATTTCCCTAAGTCATGACTTTCTGGCAATAGATTCTAAATGTATATTTTGAGGTATAGAACTTAATGAGTCATGCAGAATTCTATACATGTTACCAATTCTGACGAACTAAGAAAAGAACTTATTGCAAAATTTTTTAAGTCATTGTTTGCAAATCTCACCCTCTGAACTGGCAGAAGGGTTAATTTTGATTCTTAAATGGAAAACTATCTTTCTTTCATTGATCAAGGTCATCCAGACATTGGAAATTAATTTTTTTTCTACTCTAATGACTAGCTGCTGTCATTTGATAGCAGCTTTTGGTCATGGCATATTAAAAAGGCAGAGCATGAAAATGACAGATACTTGGCACTAAATGAATGAGCCATAATTGCATAATTGAAAGATGCAAGAAATGCAAATGAGGGAAGAATGTGGTGCTGAAAAGGAATAGAATTTATAATTCATTATCTTACTGGAATTTTTCATAGGGATAGCTACGTATTTGTAGGATAAAGCCTAAGTGAGCTATGTCCAAGATCCAGCCTTCCCTCTTCTCTCCCTTACTCTTCCCTGTGTCCCTGTTCTCTGAATTACCTCCATGTCCTGAAGTAACTCATACTGTCCATACCCAGGGCTCCTGAATGCCCCTTCTTAGGCCTTCCTCTAACCTGGTGACCTGTAAAACCCAGCTAATGTCCTTTGGCCTTATCTTGTCTTCTTTCACAAACACCACACTTGTGGTTTTTTAATTTTCTTTTCTGTTTGTTCAAAATTGGTATCTGATGCTTTTGCTCATTGGCTGGTGCTCTACCACCTGAGTCACACCTCCAACCCCAACAACGTTGGTGTGCTTTTTATTTCCTGTATTCATGTCTGTATTAACAGTACCCCATCACAGAGCTGCCTGCTCACCATGGTTTGTAGTAGGTGCTGAATTTGTAGACCGTCAGCTAGTGTGTGAGTGAAAATCCTGCTATTTTCATGATCTGTTTTGGAGGTAAACATGAGTGAAAAGGAGTGTGTTGCTTTAAGTGAAAATCAAAAAATACAAATGGGAATCAAACTGTTCATTTGGGGTTCTTAGAGGAAGTATGACTCATATATTTTGCGATTTTAGGGGAGAGAGATTTCCTGGAGACTAGCACTTTAACAACCCTAAAATCTGCTCATCAGAAAGGGAAATAAATTCTAATGTAAACAAAAATTTCTTCCAATGCCTGTGAGCGCGCGCACACACACACACACACACAATATATATATATATATATATATATATATATATATATATATATATATATATATAT